GAATTAAGTAACACAATTAATAAATGATTTGGCTTCACATATCATGCTCTTTACTATACCACATCATTTGTTCAGAAAACATTTCATGAACTCTTACCAAGTGCTAGGTATTGTATTAGGTATAAAAAATACAGTGGGGAATGAACAAAAGCACATGCTCACAATAAAGCATGACAGTGCTGTAAGAGTAAAAGCTTGGGGTGAGATGGGAGCCTATTAGAGGGGCACTTATTCCTAACCTGGAGTTGACAGAGGAAGCAACCTCTTAACTTAGCCTGAGTGGATGAATGTTAGCAAAAGAAGGATAAATCCCACAGGAGGATTTGAGGAATTGCAAGAGGCCAAAGGTGAAAAAGCTCTGTAAGAGTTGAGAAGCTGGAAGAAGGATGAAGAGGGAATAGAAAGGTAAGTAGTAACCAGAGCATATACTGCTTCTTAACTGGTGTTGAGTTTTAGCCTATAAGCAATTGGTAGTCACTGGGAGGTCATAAGCAGAAGAGAAATGTGCTGAAATCTGTATGGTGGGTAGGGAATGAAGATTGGAGGCAGAGGATCAGCTTAGAAGCCTCACAAGTGAGAAACTATGAGGACTTGCACTAAAGAAATGCAAGCCGAGATCATGAGAAGAGGACAGGGATATTTAGAGGGCAGAACTGATGAGATGTTACTTCCATGAAGGGTGAAGGAAGAAACGGAAATTAAGAATGACTCAATTTTTCAACCTTATTCCAAAGACCACATTTAAAACACCTATACAACTTCTCTAGGTACTCGCATTATAACATTTCATTTTTTTTCTATAAAGTGGGGAGCAAGGTCATCTACTGAAACTGAGATGGGAGGTAGCAAGAAGAGATGTAGTGAAGATCTAAACTAGCCACTCTGTAGAATGAGGAATTGCTGAACCGAGAAACACAGGCTTCCAGGAAAGTTCTGAGGGCCCAAATGGGGCAGAAGGTCTTGATGTGGTAGCCCTCATCTGTACAGATGGAAGATTATCTCCAGCAGCACTCAATAGCCAGGGTAAAGATGCACAGAAGATGAACACAGAGACTGGACCATATCAAAGTTTTCCAGGAGAGGCAGAAAAGACAAGATATTAGGGCAGAGGAGTTTAGAATATAAGAGAGTGGCAGAAGCAATGAAATATAGCCTCTAAGCTGGATACAGAAGTGAAGGGAGGGTGTGCTAATAAAAAGAAAGCAGACTAGGAACTAGGGTCAGGGAACTAGAGGGCTCTCCTGACAGCATTTCCCAAAATGTGTTTCTCAGATACTTATTACACAGGATGTTAATCACTGACAAGTTCCTCATTAAAAGCTTTTCATGGTCAAGTAAGTGAAGGAAACCTTGGGTAATGTAATTTTTAAACTGTTTCCTTCCTGTACTATTTGCATTTAATAAGTTAATAATATATACTGTAGTTCTGTAATAATTTATCTCTAGGATAAATATGCATTTCCCAAATACTTCTGATTATTGTATATTATTCATCTGTATTTATCAGAGAATTTCACTGAATGGGTATCTTAAGGAACACATTTTCAGAAGGTGTGCTCTATGAAATGAGAAGTAGGGATGGTAGAACACTTGAAAAGAAAGTAGCTTACTAAGGCAGGAGGTTTACCTGAAAGTTCTCTTAGCTTCCAGAGCTATGTATCTTTAATTCTACTATAACACACATACACACACACAGACACACACAGACACACACACACACACAGCTTGACTCTGACTCTACTGTAATTAGTATTCATTCATGAAACCAATATTCCAAGAGCATGTACTATTATGTGGCAGAGGAGATTTATACAGCATTCTTACCAGGACAAACTTCATAACTTAACCAGGGAAAAAACAGAAACACACAAGAAAAATAAAAACCTGGCTGGAAAGTGTGGCTCTTCCTCAGACACCCGTAAGATATAGTTTCCCTCCAAGGCAACTAGTGCTACCAATACAGCCACAGCTCTGTAAGATCAGAAAGTTCTTCCATAAAAACAGAGCTAAGATGAGTAGACCTGAGCTGAACAAACGAAAAAGCCCCAGTCTTGTCTTTGCTGAAGCTACTACTCTCCCAGAGTCATTCATGATGAAATAATCTCTCCTACCCCATCAATCTGATGACACAGATTCTTGACCTGGTCCTAATCTACTCCAGGATAAGAAATCCTAACAGTTGATTTTCTTAAATGACAACCAACCTGCTTAAACCCAGTGTCAACCATTCAGAATTCCAACTGTCACAGACTAGTACGGATAAAGCATAATCTGTAAGGAAGAAGTAGAGATCCACATGTAAATACTGGCTAGTGCCAGACTGTGAAGGATCTTGGTGACACAGCTGAAGCCTGGATATTCCTTGGGGAATGAGGAGGCCTTATGGATATATGAATAGGAAGACCGGGAGCGGGAGGGTAAAAGTAATGCCATCATTGCTAAAAACAGGTTTAGAAAGTTATTCTTGGGACATGCCCATAGGGTCCATGTCCATTTTTTAAAAGGCAGATCAAATTTTAAAATATTTTTTGTCATTTTTCTCCGCTTCCCTTCAAAGGGAAGGTTTTCCTTCCTAGAGGTAAGGAGTTTTCCTTCCTAGAGGTAAGGAAAATAGGCCCATAATTTCCAGCTTCATGGTTAAAGGTATAAAAGAGAAAGTGTAAACATAATTTAAACTGACAAGGATGTTAAATCAGGCAACTCACTTGAAACTCCAATGGGAAAAGAGATGAAAATCAAAATCTTCAGTACATATTGTAGAGATTTTAGAAAAACAAAAATAATAAACTGCTATCATCTTATTAGGGAACAAAAACGCTAAAGACACATTAGCAAATGTGGCTTTGACTGATGTGACATAAGCTGAGACCTCATACCAACTAATTTAAGAAGTTTTAAAGATTTAGATCATGAGAAAAACAAAACTACAATAATTATGTGGTTTCAGAAAAAGTTAAGTCTTCCCTCAGTAACTTCTTTACATTCTTTACTACTACCATACTACAATACGACAATCCCTAGGGGTTATACTAACATCACTTGACTAGAATTTTGGAAACACTGAAGTCCTACATTACAGAATGATGTCTAACTTGCAGAAACAAAAAACAAAGAAAGTTGGCTCATGGGATTTAAAACTCGCCGAGGTCCATAAAACAACCGCAGTTACAAAAACCACTATCTGCTCAACTTCAAAATGGGCTTTCAATAAAACCTCTGTGACAAAAAGTCATACCTATATATTCAGTTACAACAAAATTATAACATATATTGACTTTTGTGGATGTCATACACAAAATGTGTAGACATCTGTGGTGTAATTTTAAAGTATGATGTTGGAAACATCATCATTGCTCTCTCTTCTTTGAAATATAATACACTGCAATCCAAATGAATTCGATTCTATAAAGACTCATTTTTCTTAACTACTATATATATGCTGATGTTCAACTATATGACTGCATGAAAAGTTGTTTATACAGCTTCATGAGGAGCTCAGTAACTCCCTAAAGATACAAAACAGCACTCATGATCTAATTGATCTGTTAAGAATCATAAAATTTGAGTTAAAAAATTATATCAGCTTATGGAAAATTGATATTACATGTGGATGAAAAATGTGTTAACTGTTTTACCACAGAATCTTTGTGATCCACTTGTACCCTAACACTGGCTGGTTCTGGAGGCCACAAGACCATCCTCTGCAGTGTAGTGAGGCACGTTATGGATGCAGAAAACTTACTCTAGTCAGATGCCCCGCTGGTAATTTCAGGAAATCCAAGATTTAGGCTGCTTTCTGGGTAAAAGGCTCAGAAGACCCACCAATGGCAGGAGATAGAAAATTCATACTCCACCCCCAGGATTATGGCAACATAGCAAACTATTTACATTTTGTGCTTCATGATCTCTCTATCCAAAGTACATATGCAACCATAATGGGCTACACAGAACTAGGAAATGTGAAAAAGCAGCAGTACTGAGCCACGTGACTTGAAGCTATGGGTCAAACTTCAAAGGGGGAGTAGCAAAAAGAAAAGGGTGAGCAAAAAGGAAATGGAAGTATCTGAGAGAAAATCCTGGTACCCATTTTGCAGTACCAGCAAATTACTTGAATATTTACAGTCTTCTAGGTTCTACAATGCTAGAAGTCATGTAATTCTGCTTTTCTACCATTGAGAGGCAATACTCTTCAGTGGAAAGCAGCCTAGTGCTTGCTTAGACTTTGACACTAACCACACAGGACTAGGGTACGACCAGAACAGGAAGAAAAAGGTCAGTTGGTGCTAAGAGAAAATTCGTTTTTGCCTATAATTGTGAAATCACAATGACCTACAATGTTAACTGCACTATCCTAAAAAAAAGAAAAGTGCTAGTCTGTGAAAGCACTCCTATTGTCATCACTCTGTAAGCAACAGAGGTCAGAGAGAATGTTTGATCATCCTTTTAGCCACTGCAGCAACCCCCGCACTGTGCCTCACATATGGTAAGCAGCAGTAAATATTCATGGAACTGAATCTTCTGTATGAGCATCCCTGTCTCTTAATCCTTCTTTCTAGTGTTTCTTATTTTCCCACCTTATTTCTTCCCATAGCTTGCACTGCTCTGTCGTTGTGGTTTAACTGATAATTTGGACAACACAAAATAACAGTCTGTTGAATTTATTGGAAGATAATTTTAGGTTCACTTTTTTAATTGGAAAAGTAAATGTTAGGAACATTATCTTTTTCTCTCTAAAATACTTTGCAAATTAAGCAGTGGGTTAGCAACCTTCAACAGAAAAAAGTTCCATATCTCTAAGTTGAAGATGTGTTGCTTTCTGCTATATTAAAATACAATTTTAAAAAGTTGACTTGTGCCATACTCTTTTTTACTGTTACGTAAATCTAAGAAACAAAATTTTCCACAATTGGCTATAAAAAGTAACACAGAACTAGCTTGGTTCCTATAAAAGTATCCTTTCAAATTAGAAAACAAATATTCAATGTAAAAAAGCCACATACTTTTCATAGTTCCATCTTCTTCTTCCTCATCCTCACTGTTTATCACCATGGTCCCCAAGTCGGATTCCAACATGGTGCTATTATGTTCAATCATGGTCTGGGCCCCTTCACTCATCGTGCTTGTGGCCCGCATGGTGCCCACACTCTCCACACTAGTCTTCACCATGGTGTGGGAATCCAGCTCATCTTCATCCTGCAAGCAAAATACTGCAATGAGGGAAGACTTTTCTGTGACAGCTGGATTTCTTAATTCTTAACAAGAGAATGAATATATTATAGTTTTAATACTTATAAAAATACGATTAGTACTGATTTTAATATAGACATACATACAAATGTTATTTTAAGAGCAAAAATTATTCAAAATAACCTAAAGTTTTAGGTAATTAAAGATCAAGCAACAGAAACTGATGAAGCAGAAGGCTGCCAGTTGCTTTTAAAATAAGGATTAAGATAAGTGAACTATCAACAAATGCATAACAAAGAATATGGTGACGAAAACAACTAAATATATAAAAGACAGCACCTTTAAGACAGAACACATTTACACTTTGTATTATAACGGGCATAATGATGTCTATAACCTTGTACAAGAGCCATTAGTTTTTTCTTTTAAATTATGGCAAAATATACAAATACATATACATAAAATTCACCATTTTAACAATTTTTAAGTGTACAGTTCTATAGCACTAAGAATGTTCACAGTGTTGTGCAACCACCACCATTATACATTTACAGAACTCTTCATCCCCCCTTTCCCCAGTCCTAGCAACCTCTATTGTACCTACATGAGGTATCTAGAATAGGCAAATTCATGAGTACTACTATTCATACCATAGTACTAATTCATAATTACTATTGTACTCATGAATTTGCCTATTCTAGATACCTCACATAAGTGGAATCATACAATACACTTCACTGAGCATAATGCATTCAAGATTCAGGCATATTGTGGTATGTTGTGTAATTTCATTCCTTTTTAAGGCTGAATGATACTCCACTGTATGAATACACCACATTTTGTTTCCCTATTTATCTGTTGATGGCCATTTGGATTGTTGACACCTTTGTCTACTGTGAATAGTGCTAATGTGAACACTGACCTACAAGTATCTGTTTGAATTCCTATTTTCGGTTTGGTTGGGTATCTACCTAGAAGTACAATTGCTGGATCACATGGTAACTTCATATTTAATTTTTTGAGTGCCCAAACTGTTTTCCACAGTGGCTATACCATTTTACATTCCCACCAGCAATGCACAGGATTCCAACTTCTCTATGTCCTTGACAACACTTGTTATTTTCCATTTCTAAAAAGTAATAGCCATCCTAATGAACATGAAGTGTTATCACATTGTAGTTTGATTTGCATTTCCCTAATGACTACTGATGTTGAGCAATCTTTTCGCATGCTTATCAGCCATTTGTATATCTTCTTTGGAGAAATATCCATTTACCCATTTTAAAATGGGTTGTTTGGTTTTTCTGTTGTTATTACAAATTCTGGATATTAATTCCTTACCAGAGATATAATTTGCAAATATTTTCTCCCATTTTGTATGCTTTTTACTTCATTTATAGCATCTATTGATGTAAGTTTTTAGTTTTGATGAAGTCTGATTTATCGTTTTTTTTTCTTTTGTTGCCTATGCTTTTGTTGTCAAAACCCAGCTTTTGAATGTTTCACAGAAGAATTGAGTCAGTAATATAAGTACAAATTAAAAGTGCTCTTTAGAACATTCACCAAAGATATACTGGAATAGGGTCATAAAAATAAACTAACAAATCCTGTCTGAAAGACCAACTGATAATCCCAGTGCTTTGGGAGGTCAGGGCAGAAGGCCAGGAGTTTGAGACCAGCCTAGGCAATACAGCAAGACCCTGTCTCCACAAAAAATTTAAAAATTAGCTGAACATGGTGGTGTGCCTGTAGTCCTAGCTACTTGATGGGCTGAGGCTGGAGGATTGCCTGAGCTCAAGAGTTTGAGGCTGCAGTGAGCTATGATGGCGCCACTGCCCTCCAGCCTGGGTGACAGAGCAAGACCCCATTTCAAAAAGAAAGAAAGGACCAAAGAATCGGCTATTTAGAAAAACTTGATTATGCACTGAAATTCATTTATATTTATTCCATTTTTAGTAGAAACATATAAGCAAAATCTAGTTCTGGCAGAGGTCAAAATGCAAATCTGAGAACATCAATGTTGAGTCTCAGCAATTTGGATTGTATAATATAACAATAGTTGGACAGCTGTTTGATACCTTTCCTCTTCCTAAACCTACATGATAAGCTTGGGCATTATGTCTCAAAGTCGTTTGCACTTCTTTCATGATCCTTTCTCTTTTAGAAGACCTCTTCATTCTCAAGCCTTCAACAATCTAATAAGTCGAGGAGTCTCAAATCCTGAAATCTTCCTATGTCTTTACTTATTATTTAAATGCTTAATGACATCTAAAATTTGACAGTCCCAAATCAGATATTATTTGTCTCTCCAGTCCCTCCTGTCTCCACCCCCAACAACCACCACAAAGCATGGTAATCTTCACTTGCTACATAAAACTTCAATGTCTTCTTACATTTATTTTCTCTTTCATTCCCTATATATGTATCAGTCAACTAGTTCTTTAAAAAATTCTCTCTTAGCTCCATCTCTTCTTTTTCCATTCCCACCGCTACTGGGTATAATCCTCACTACCTCATAGGTGGTTTACTGCAGCTAATGCTTCCTGACTGAGGACTCTCCCATCTAACTTTCTAGAGTCAGGCAGACATTGGTTCAAATCCTGGCTCAAATCACTTATGAGGCATAGGATCCTTGTCCCCAAAGATTGATGATTAAATAAAAAGGTAAGCAAAATGCCTGCATGCTACCTGGAACAAGGTAGTTTCACACCTTTCTCAAAGTACATGGCATTATACTAACCTTTCTTGAATACTATTTCTATCATTCTACGGAAGAATTTACTATGGCTCCCAGTTCCTGCCTTCATTAAAGCTAAACATTTCTGCCTAGATTTCAGTGTCTTCTATGGCCCAATCCTATTTTCCCATTGTTCATATAACTTCCAATACAGGCAGGCTGGACTTTAACTGAATCTCTCTTTGCCATAACTCCATAAGATGCTATGCTCATTAAAGACTTCCTTTGTGTACATGTCTTATTCTCTATCCAGAACGCCCTTCCCCTCTATCCATTTAACTAAATCCTACCTAGTTTCGGATCAAGTATCTACTACTTCCATGGCTAATTCAGTCTTTGTTAATTATTCTCTTTTCTAAACTTCCATAGAATTTGCAACCTGCATTATACACTTTTGTATTCAATTTATGATCTCATATTGCAAGCAATTGTTTTGCAAAATCTTTTATAAATGTAAGTACCCTATGGACAAGAATGTCTTTGAGTGCCTCTGAATCCACTAAAGTGCTTCATTTGGTATTCAAAACACGGTAAGGATTTGTGAAAGTTGTCAGAATCAAAATGAAGACATTTCTGCTTAAAACAACAAAAAAACAAACAAAAACCAACCCTGACAAATGGAGCAAGGGAAAGCCATAAAGAGATGGTCCTCATGCATAAATGCCTGATAGCAAAAGCTATCACAAAAGACTCTGCCAAAACCACCACTTTGCACGACGGCCATTGCAATCTTACATGAAAAATACTGTGAGGACATCTACCCAGCAACTGCCTATCTAACCACAGACTGGCACACAAGGATAAGGATTTCAAAACAATTAGGCAATTCTCCTCATTTTTCCTTTAAAAACCTTTGTCTTCCTTTACCCCCCGAATACGCACATCGTTTACTATAGCGCCTATACTAGCACTGCAATGCCCTATTCTAAAATAAACGTTACTTTCTTTTAGAGAGTCCTTGTTATTTAGGTTGACACGTTCAATACATATTGACTTTTTCATGGAATTATAAAATCAGGGACCTTTACAGTTAGAGAGAAACTAATTTGAACCATCATTTTATATCCGAAAACACTGAGGTCCATAGAAAATAAGAGACTTCCCTAAGGTCACACACCTACTTAAAAGTAGATCTGGGACTAAGAAACAAGTTCTTTTATTTCTTAGCCCATTATTCTACTACATACACGTACCTGAATTATGTTTAAATTTTGATCTACTTGAATGCTTAAGTTTGAGGTGCAAGCTTAGAATTTTAAAAGCTTATATCACCACCTTCTATTCCCAAAGAGTCCCATAAAATTATTCAGTACATTCTAGTCCAAGCCACCATCTTCTCCCACTTGGAGCATGAAAATAGTCTACTGACTCTTCTTATTGTTTCCATTTTTGCCCCTTTTAGTCTCACTCACATAGGCAGATTGAGCCCTCCAGAAGACAAATGACATCATGTTACTCTCCTGCTAACACTCTGCATTTGGCCTCCTATCACACTTAGAATAAGATCCAAACCCTTTATCATGTCCAAATGTGATCTGGCCTATCCCATCTAGTAATATCTGCCAATCCCATCTCCTATCACATTCCTTCTTGCTCACCAAGCTCTAACCAGGCTGACCTCCTTTGCTGTTTCTTGAGCATTCTAAGCATGTTCTTCCTTTTAATTCTTTAAATTGGCTGATCTATCAGACTGGAATGCTCATCCATAAACCAGATTGATAATTTATTTAACTCAGGTCTTTATTTAGCTGTGACCTCCTTAGTGAAGCTTTTTCTGACCACCAATCTAAGCTAAAGCCTCCATCATTTTCCATTCTTCTGTATTCTTCATAGTCTATACCTGGCCTTCACGACCACTAGAATGTAAGTCTGAAGAAGGCAAGAGACTGTTTTAACTTCTGAATCCTCATTATTAAAACACCTAGCATACAGTAGGTACTTGATAAATATTTAATGAATAAATCAATTTATATTTTCACTTATTGATCATCCAACAAGCATTTATTGTACATCAACTATAGACAAGACATTGGAGATACAAAGATGAATAAGATAGTTTCATTCCATTTCAGTTTTTAGGGAGTTTGTGATCTAGGGGAAATCTACTACCATGTGAACAATAAGTTACAGGACAATCTATTAAATGCTATAAGAAAAGTGTTGACAGTAAAATGGGAATACCAAGAGTAGAGCCTCTAACTCTGCCTTTAGTAAGTGAAGAAGGCCCCACAGAGGAGGCTGAACTTGAGTTAGCTCTTAAAAGAGGAGT